GCCCTTGTGGCAGGCTTTTTATGTGGGATCATTTGTGCAGGTCACAAAAGCAGACTTGCCCTTAATTGGGTTAAGTGCTTTGGTGCTTTGTGACACCTTCATACTAAGGGTGGGATTTTGTGCCACATCTGCCGCCACACCTCAGCCACATTTTCATACTCTGAATCAATTCAAACTCCACAATCTTAATCGCCCCCCACTCCCTACGATGGCTGCAAGAAAACATCTGTAAATAGCGGAGCCCGGGAGTGAGTTTCCCCAATCAGGCAGTCTCATTTATTATTATATAAGCACCCTGTCTCGTATTTTCTTTGAATATGTTATGCTGTGGTGATGCTCATGGCCCCACCATCTTATTATTGCATGTGTTTCACCAAAATCATACATCTGTATCTGAACTCCATCTTCTGGGAACAGCAATGCCATCCAGATGTCAGTGACTTGCCTAAAGCTGTCAGAGCCATGGCAATGACATCCTTCTTGCCCTTCAGTAATTTTCATGCTACTTGTGCTTACCAGAGGCATGGATTGTCACTGAGCCTGGGGAAGATCTTCTTCCTAATCTCTTCTGGGGGCAGCAGTGCAGCATATTGTGGAGATGTGGTGATCATAGAATCAGAATAAGGCACTTCAGCACCTGAATGAAACATATTTGCCACATTAACCCTAATCTAATTCTACAATCTCCGGCAAGCGCCACTACTATATGAAGGGATATAATGTGATCACTCTGTTGTTTACAGATGTTCTCTTGCAGCCGTCGTAGGACGTTGGGGGCAATTAAGATTGTGGAGTTTCAAAACTGTGTGATCGCATCGTGATCGAACACATGGTAGTGATCGAAACGTGGCACAAAATCCCACCCTTAGTATGAAGGCCCCCCTTAATGCCCGAAGAAAGGCTGTGGAGGAGCCTGGAGGTTTTGCTGTTCTGGCCTCAATTATATGTGCTGATCTCGACAATATGAAAACAGCACACTTGAAATAGTCAGGATAATCGATTGTGTTTAGTGACGACAGGATTGTATTTATTCTGATAATCCGTGCAGCCAGCACGCTCCAGCACAGTAGCCAGCACCGATATACCAATCGAGGAAGGTCCGTTGCCGGATTAGGCGACGCCACTCGAGCAGTGCGGGAAGTACTGAGCACTTATGGTGCAATCAGAAGCGAGGCTCTGATTTCAGCCGATCAGTGAGGAGCGGAAACGGCCTTCCCATCCAAGACATCAACTCAGTGTGATCCTTCAGTGAGTTGTTGGTATTTGGGTGGATCAACACGCTAGTGAGACAATATGTTAAGCCCACACAGCACATCTACAGAGCAGATGACAGCAAGCACTTACGAGCAAGGCCCCCGGTTGACAGTAAGCCAGGAGAAGAAAGTGCCGACTTGGTGTGGGTTGAATGCGTTCACTTCAAACATCGCGACTGGATGAGGCCCTGCGATGACGATAAACTTCGTCAAATCATGCGCCAGTCACTGGACCACGAGACCATACCGACTGGCTTATCCCACAGCTTGTAAATACGCAACTGGATGAACAACCGTTCGTGAGCTACTCTATTGCTATCTTTCAGACATTGCTTACCTCCGGAAATTCTCGACGAATCCGTTCATGTAACTCCTTCGCATACTGCGCTTCCGACGGACTGTGTTGCATGTAGTATACTGCGGCGCATGATTTCGCTTCCTCATCCATCACACACAAGGCAACACTCACTGTGGAAATCAAACCCATTATTCGACGAGTCAATCGGGTTGGGGAACTCCTCGTACGAAGCCGACTTCGGGCCCGGCGGGTTGTATAGCGACTTCCCGTCCGGGTTTGTGGTCGTCGGCAGAGGCTCTGCGTTCTCGTATCCCTCGAGTGGCGACTTCCAAGCTGAAGGCATGATGGGTGATCGCGAGATCAGGGCGGATCTGGTGCAGGAGATATAGTCGCGGAATGGACATGACAAATCATTAGCAATTGATGATTACGCCTGTGGACGATCGCGCCAAGGGCTTCGATGAGCAATGCAGAGTGAGGTCAGATGATCCTTCGACGAGGAGAGCTACGCGGGGACGGGACTCTGAAAGGCCAGACGAAAGGACTCTATACCGCGTCAGGAACAAGGTCTGAAGCATGAAGTCTCATCGACTCGGACGTGGGCCACCGTAGTGGCGTTCTGGACTGACGCGAATGTAGGTCATGTGACCACGACGCGAAGGTACGCGATGCCCGTGTCGCTATCATAGTAGTTGTTCTCCGGTCGAACCGCTTGGCTTCTCTGTATTTACTCTCTGCGACTCGTGCATTTGCTTGCTACATTCTGTCGAAGGCGCTCATCAAGCAAAATGTCTACCCGAGAATCAGATAGAATCTCCTCGGCTCAGCAGACTTTAGACAGTGAGTACCGACATCAGCGTATCGGATGCTTGTACCCATCAGAGAGCTCAGCTTTCCATATTGACAGCTCTCTATGATATTTCCCAACTATTGAACACGCAGCTGGACAAGGAGACCCTCGCGACGTGCGTCGGCATGATCGAGAGTGGTGTCAACCCAGAGGCACTCGCGGTATGTTCCTTCTTCACATAAACCGGTGTTGTAGCTGATTGGGCGCAGGCAGTCATTCAGGAGCTGCGAAGAGAGAATCAGACCTTGAGCTCGCAATCGAAGACCAATGGGCGATAGGGCATTGTGACGACGGAGCACGGAAATCAGTCATCCGGAAATCCACGATTACAAGGCTCAGGTCGTTTGCACTGCTTCTATCATTTTGCATGCAATACAGGGCTTCTCTTGTTACTACACAGCAACATGGTCTGCACTGTCACTCCACGGTTTCATTCGATGCTGTTCATGGCAGCGAATGTCCTGCTGCTCGCATGCGGTGCCTTCAAATATTCAGGCTTGTTCTCCGGATGCTTCCCCATACGACCCACTTGAAAGCAATCATCGTTGACAGTATAACCTTTTCACGTGGCTTTCCATCCGGGCTAGATAAACCTACATATAATTGAATACTGCCGGTTCGACTTCGTCTTGGACGACACATTCCTCGTACACATAGCCGTGCAGGCCTCTCATCATCTCTACGGGCTACCATTCGCTCCCCGCTCATCGTTAATTATGTTCGTATACAACGGGTATGGCTTTCCCATCCATGATACCAGCTCGGTGTGGTCTCTTAACCAATTGCCAGTATTGGGATGCACTAGCACGCTGGAAGTATAGTGAGTTCATTCGAGCTGCCGTCGATGCCATTCCATTGATCACTCACGAACACGATCCTCGGTTAACAACCAGCCACGCAAAGAGGGCGCCAGTCTGGTGCGGTGTGAACGTGTTCACTTCGAATTGTCCCACCGGATGGGGTCCTGGGCCTCGCATTCAGCCACCTACTTCATACAATCTTCCCAACGAGTCAGGCGTACCGATTGGCTTGTCCCATAGCTTACGGGTGCGCAGCTGCACGAATGTCCCACGGGTAAGCTGTGGAAGCACACGGCAGGGCACAGCGATGTGTGCTCACCTCGGGAAACTCCCGCCTAATGAGCTCAAGCAGCTCCTGGGCATACCGCGACTCCGATGGGCTGTGCTGCACAAAGTACACTGCACACCGTAAGCTCTCTGTACCCGATCGCCCTTGGCCACACTTTTACGCACCATGAAAGTCGAAACCGCTATCCTTCATTTCGATGGGCTTCGGGAACTCGTCGTACGCGGTCGACTTGGGTCCTGGCGGGTTGTAATAGGTCTCTCCGTCAGGGTGCATCGTCATCGGAAGGGGCTCAGCGTTTTCGTAGCCCTCGAGTGGCGACTTCCAGGTCGAAGGCATGGTGTCGCAGTGAATGGCGCCGCATGCCATGCTGCCCGGCCGATGATTAAGAGGGGCCCCGGGGTTATTGCTGCAATCAAGGCGCAGTCGTTTGGTGCCTGAGCTAGTACATGGGCCGCATGGCCGTGCGTGCAAGAAGCCCCGGGATTTATGAGGGTGGTACTTCAAGCCTCGGGGGCTGACGATCCTGACGGCGTCTGGCTTACTTATCTTGTCAGATACTCCCGTATGAAGCTTCACTGCCGCGACCATCGGTACCTGCTGACACCGGCGAATGAGCAATGGAAAGGTTGTTTCGCATACTGGAAGACCAAGGTCGCTGTCGCTTACGCAAAATTCATTGCCATGACCAAGAAGCACGTCCAGACTCCACTGTCAATCGCGCGAAAAATGGGTCACATGACCGCGACGTGGATGCGTCCGCCGGGCAATTTGGTCATTTCACCGCAGACATGGAACGATCTCCATGCATGGCAGATGGTGAGGAAGTGTGATCGTAAATGATGGCCTTCGGTGAGACAGCGTTATGCTGACTGCATTTGAAATATTGGATGTAGAAAGTTCACCTTGGACTCCCATGAGCCTTATTTATAATATATGGTGCAATTTCCTACAGACACAGGAGGTCACCATTCAGGTTCTGATAATTGCTAACCACTGAGTACTGATTGCTCCAGAGTGGAATGGTTTCATGTCTGCTAGGGCACAGGGAAATAGCGAATGCTAATTAGCCAGGGCTATTTTACCTATGTAAATTACATGTAAATTACAGTTAATTTCAAAAGAGCCGAAAGTCGAAGGTAATTTACAGTTAAATAGGAAGCGCCAGGGGAGGGGAAAGGAGATGTTCAGGATGTCTGTCAGGTCTGTCAGCTCAAGAAAATTCTCTCAGAAAATCCAATTGAATTGTATTCAACCAGTGTAGAAAAGGCTCACAGAGATTATTGAGGACGAGCAGCCTGACTGGGATCGTTGGTAGTGGCATAGCGTGAGGAAATTGTAATTTACCGTCATTTTAGGTAAATGTACTGGCTAATTAGTGTTGATTAGCATGGAGTTTCGGGGGCTGCGCCCCTGGACCCCCTTTGTTAATTAACCGTAAAATACATAGGTAAAATAGGATATGCAAAGTTTTTGGCCTGAAGTATGCAAAGTGCGACAAGGCCCGTGACTATGTCACGTTTTGTAACGATATGTCACGTCATGTCAGAGTCGAAAACATACGGATTTGTTGGCGAGACAGCATGGTGCTCTTGCATAACGATGTTCTGATAATCGAGGGATAC